AAACACCACAGAACATCAAGTTAAATTTAGGAATTCTTAGATAAAGAAATTAAGGACCAGTACAATGTCACTGTACAAAACCGGTATAATGCAATGGAAATTATACAGACTATTGATGAACAGTGGGATATGTTGCGTGAGTCAATTCAACAGACATCTAAAGAGACAATCCCACCAACCCATAGAGTTGCAAAAAAGAAATGGATGTCAACCGAAATTCTGCAGATGATGGATAAAAGAAGGAGGAAAAGAATGATAAAGAAGAATACTCTATAATACAAAAATAAATAGTGAACAAATTCAAAGTGGCTAAAGAAGCCTGGCTGAATCAAATGTGTACAGAGATTGGGGAAAACAACAGGAAAGACTCACATTCCATGTACCAACAGATAAATATCTTAACAGGAAAGATGACACGTAACAGCACTGGATGTTTGAAATCAAAAGATGGAGACTTATTAATGATACATAGTAATATAATTAACAGATGGACAGAGTATATAGGGGAATTGTATGATGATAATAGACCAGATGTAGAACTGCAGACCAACAATGATGGTCCATCAGTAATGACTGCAGAAGTTGAGGATGCAATACATCATATGAAGAAAAGAAAAGCACCCGGGCCAGACAACATCTCACTGGAAGAAATCGAAACACTGGGAGATTTTGGAATTGAAATAATAACCAAACTTTTAAATTATATTTATAATAGTGGGTATATTCCTAATGACTTTTTAAAATCCATATTTATAGCTCTGCCTAAGAAACCAGGTACTATAAAATGTGAAGACCATCGCACAATAAGTCTTATGAGTCACATGACTAAAATTTTACTGAGAATAATTATGAGAACAAAAAGAAACAAAATTAAACCAGAAATCAGCGATGAACAATTTGGATTTGTAGAAGGAAAAGGTACAAACAATGCCATTTACATCCTAAGGACATTGTCAGAAAGAGTTATAGGAGTAAAGACTGATTTGTACTTATGCTTCATAGACTTTACAAAAGCATTTGACTGTGTGAAGCATGAAGAAGTAATCAAACTGTTAGAAAAATTAAACATTGATGGGAAAGATCTACGAATAATAAAGAATATGTATTGGCGGCAAACAGCAGCTATAAAAATTAACAACTGTTTAGGTACATTTCAAAGCATAAAGAGGGGAGTACGACAAAGATGTGTACTGTCACCTGATTTGTTTTCAATATACAGTGAATTTTTAATGAGAGCTTTAATTGGTATGCCCCGAATTGTGGTTGGTGGGCACAATATAAACAATTTACGTTATGCTGATGACACAGTCTTGATAGCAACAAGTCAGAAAGAACTACAGGAATTGATAGACATTGTGGTGTTAGAAAGTGGAAGAATGGGCCTCAGTTTGAATAATGGGAAGACAGAAGTAATGGTGGTATTAAAGAGACGAATTATTCCTAAGTGTGTAATAAAAGTTGATGGTGTTATTTCAGGACAAGTATAGAAATTTAAGTATCTGGGCACATGGATAACATCAGATGGAAGATGCATAACTGAGATAAGAAACAGAATAGGACAGGCAAAAACTGCATTTTATAAAATTAAAAACATCTTGTGCAATATATCCTTGTCATTGAGAGAAAAGAATTCTTGCTTGCTACATACATCCAGTTTTAACATATGGCTGTGAATCCTGGACAATCGGTAGGCAGGCCAAACAATTTTTGGAGGCCTCGGAGATGTGGTTTTACAGAAGAATGCTTAGAATACATTGGACAGCCAAAAAGAGCAACCAAGAGGTTTTGAAAGAGGCCGGAGCCCGAAGACAACTTATCACAAACATCAGAAGGAGACAGTCATCATTTTTCGGCCATGTTATGAGAAAAGGGGAAAAAGAACATGTTGTGACCACCGGAAAGATATGTGGAAGAAGAGAAAGAGGAAGACAACGAGAGAAGATGCTTGACAGTCTTGTTGCATGGCATGGAGGTGTGTCGGCACACGAACTGATACATGCTGCAGAAGATCGCAGATTATGGATAGACATGATTGCCCACGCCAGTCGGCAAGGCACCTGATGATGATGATTTTTAGAAATACCACTGATCAAATCTTTTTCGAAGTGAGCAAATAAAGTATTTCTTATAATAAGTGTACACTTGTTGCGATGCATTTTCACATCATCCATAGCTTTACTGTCAGAAATAGTGTTTTTAAACAAATCAATCAAATGGTCACAGTTTGAAATTGCACAGTGACAACTTAAAAACATTGCGACAGATCCTTCAACTTTTGATGATTAATTTATCAGTGTATGTAGTTCTGAAAACAGATGTCAGCGGTGTAATATCTTTGAATGGAACTGCAGTTTTACGCTTTTTAGTCTATGCACGACTCTTTAAGTCTTGTATTTTAACTTTAATTTCACACTTGCGGTGCTTACAACGAGCCTTGGTTATATCCCCAATAACTGCCATCACCCAGTCTTTAATTTTGTCTTCATGCAACCACTCTTTCCGAAATTTTTGCTCACAATTTACTTTTGGCATGCTGAAAGGTTTTTTTCAAAGTGAAAGCCACAATTATTTTTAAAATATCACATAAAAAAGAAACACAAAGTCAGAACAGTGAGGATACGGTTTAAACAAAGTTAGTATGATTTACGCGCGCTTTTAATAAATCAGTACCAGGGCTGCCAGATATTTGAGCGTTGACTCCAGTGAGAGTTCAGAGTTTAAGTATTCGCAATTGTCACAATGTACCAAAACAACAATATTGTAGTACATTTTTTACAGAGTAATTATTAAACTGACACAGAAAGAAAAAAAAAATCTATAAAATATCTAACTCCAAAAGAAAAACATCTACTATCTAAACGTCGAAAACACAATCTAAATGCAAGGAAAAACATCTAAATGTGAATGTAAAACATCTAAAGTGGCAAACACTGGGCCCCCATGAACTAGACAGACTTCACAGCCGCCAGGTGGCAAAAACGGGTGGACTATTTACATAAGCGGCAACACAACAACGAAGAGGGCTACAATAGGTCCTGGATGTGACTGGGAAGGCCGAGGCCCCAGGCCGAGCCAGTCTAAGGGCAACAATTGTAACCGTTTACTAGGCGCGCTCAGTAGCAAGGAATCACGTCATACATGTCATCTACGGAATACCGTATGTGGTAATGTTGTGATTTACTTGTTGAAAGCTATTCTTGCCGACATTGCTCTCTTCTGGCCCCGCCACAACAGCAGTAATTGATAATCACACCGTCACCTAGGTCGCTGCTGCAAAAAAAAAAAAAAAAAAACAACAACAACTGCTTGTTCGAATTCAGCTAGTCCTGTCGTTAGATGACATCATCTCTAGATATGCTAATAACTCTGCGAAAATGCAGGAGGGTTGTCGACTTCTGTGCTAGTAGACGCTGTAAAATGTAACACCCCACTCCCTCCTGAGTGTCGGTCCTTTCCAGGATTCTCTAGTGCGTGGCTGCAGTCAGGATCGTCACCTGAGGCCCTTTTGAATAGTTTTGCAACGACGCGCGTCGTACGTTGCAGGCTCTATGGCGGGGGAGGGGGGGGGGGTGTAGTGAGGGCTAGTGCCGGTTGGAAATATCGGGTTCACTTGGCAGTATTTATGAGATTAGACAGACATAATTACACCCCCCACCGACGTAGACAAGCCTGAGGGTGCATGAATGAAGGATCACACACTGTGTAAATGGGGAGATTCGTCTAATGTTAACCTTGTTGCCATATAGTCAGTGAACTGTGACCAAAAACACGTACAGGTATGACAAACGATAATGATGCTTACATAAGTAAAGTAATCTCTGTAATCTGGTAATCTTAGTTTCAGCTTCATAGCAAACGGGTCACCACATAGTTGCTCCGCTTCTGTGCCAACGAAAAACACACACAATGTTTATCACAGTTCAAATGAAATTCGCAGCTCACAGTGTCACTCCACGCACTCAACTTAGAAGCTGGACTACGAAACTATATCCTTCCAGTCTACAAATGGAGCAAATATGCAACGGCCACCGTCTGGCAGCAGCAAAAAAATTTGCTATGGCTAAAAATAGTCCACCAGCAAGCGTGGCCCCTACTAAGACCTGACTGCCTTCGTTAACGTCTGTTCACCCAACAGCCATGCAGTTCTTTGGCACGAAGGAGACACCCTGAACTTCGGTTTCGGACTGCCGACTCCCTACAAGATGTTCTGTTATTTTCTGTTATCACAATCGACGTCATTGCACATTGGGCATTCCCATGCGCGCTAAGTCCTCTGATGCAGCAGCCACTCCGAAGTACTTCTACTTATTGTTCCCATGAGAAGCTGGTTATATTGTCTCCTTTCTCGGTCTCGCTGTAAAAATAATGAATTTTGAGCATGGGATGACAGTTACCTTGCAAACAATGCAATATAATATTTTTGAAGGAAAACATTTAGGAGAAAACGTATATTTGGTAAAAATGCAGTAAAGTAGCAGATCGGTAGTAGTGGAGATCCATCGTGAATGCCTTATATGTCAACAGCCACGCATGATATATTTTAAGCCGAGAAACCATTTGGTAAATAATGGCAGTCCGGTTTTCCGTAAACAAAAGGCAACCGCCAAGCCGGCGCCGTGGCAACTTCTATTTTTAGAGAGGCAACAATTCTTGCGCACGCCCGCCCGGCAAATGTTACCTTTTCATCACAAAGGAAACGAAACGCAACATTCTTGAAAAAAAAAAAAAACCTGTTATAACCTTTTGTTGTTGGGCATTTCTAGGTTTCTAATACGACATATATTCAGAAAATATCACAGCTGATTGCTGCTAAAAGATCGTTAATTTTGGCGACACGTGGGGCACAGTTTGGACCTGCCGCCTCTGATTTAACAAACATGAAAAGGCAACCTTTCCCCGCTAATTTTTGTTATTGTAGCTACCAAGACGAATGTTGCCTATTCCAAGTTTTGCAGAATTAGTTGACTGTTGGTGGTTGGCATTTATGGATAGCCCAGGAGATGGCGGATTTGGCAGAGTTGAAGGTAAGCGGCAATTTTTGTGTGTTCTCCTGCTTGTTGTCGCTGTAGCCGTAGGTTATTTGTTTATGTCCCTCGATATACTCGCAGTCGTCGCCCATGTTTTGTAGACACAACATTCAACATTTCATGTCTGCCGTCATCCATCTTTCTAATGTTGCCGACCCGGATTAAAAAAAAAAGTTGACGGTGAGTGCCGGCTGGGGCCGGACGGGTTGTTGAACTTGTTGAGACCGGCTGGTGTCAACCCGGCGCTCGGAGTCATGTAGTGGTGGGGTTGGTCGGGTGTTTATCGCTTGTGTGATGTCCTAGTGTAGAAAGTCAGTCATAACAGTGACAAAACTACTGTAGTGGTTAGTGGTATGGTTGGCACAGTGACAAAACTACTGTAGTGGTTAGTGGTATGGTTGGCACAGTGACAAAACTACTGTAGTGGTTAGTGGTATGGTTGGCACAGTGACAAAACTACTTAGTGGTTAGTGGTATGATTGGCACAGTAAGTGAACTACTGTAGTGGTATGGTTGGCACAGTAAGTGAACTACTGTAGTGGTATGGTTGGCACAGTAAGTGAACTACTGTAGTGGTATGGTTGGCACAGTAAGTGAACTACTGTAGTGGTATGGTTATCACAGTAAGTGAACTACTACAGTACTATAGTGGTATGGTTGACACAGTGACAAAACTACTAGTGGTTAGTGGTATGGTTGGCACAGTAAGTGAACTACTGTAGTGGTATGGTTGTCACAGTAAGTGAACTACTATAGTACTATAGTGGTATGGTTGACACAGTGACAAAACTACTTAGTGGTTAGTGGTATGGTTGGCACAGTGACAGTACTACTGTAGTGGTTAGTGATATTCTGATATGGTTGGCACAGTGAGTGAACTACTGTAGTGGTATGGTTGACATAGAGAACTGCTGTAGTGGTATGGATGGCACAGTTAGAGAACTACTGTAGTGATATGGTTGGCACAGTGAGAGAACTGCTGTAGTGATATGGTTGGCACAATTAGAGAACTGCTGTAGTGGTATGGTTGGCACTGTTAGAGAACTACTGTAGTGATATGGTTGGCACAGTGAGAGAACTGGTGTAGTGGTATGGTTGGCACAGTGTGAGAACTGCTGTAGTGGTATGGTTGGCACAATGAGAGAACTGCTGTAGTGGTATGGTTGGCACAGTGAGAGAACTGCTGTAGTGGTATGGTTGGCACAGTTAGAGAACTGCTGTAGTGGTAGTGTTGGCACAGTGAGAGAACTGCTGTAGTGTTGTTGTCAGCACAGTGAGATGAATGCTATGGTGTTGTGGTCAGCACAGTGAGATGAATGCTGTAGTGTTGTGGTCAGCACAGTGAGATGAATGCTGTAGTGTTGTGGTCAGCACAGTGAGATGAATGCTGTAGTGTTGTGGTCAGCACAGTGAGATAACTGCTGTAGCGTTGTGATCAGCACAGTGAGATAACTGCTGTAGTGTTGTGGTCAGCACAGTGAGATAACTGCTGTAGTGTTGTGGTCAGCACAGTGAGATTAGATGGAGAAGAGTGGTGAGGTAACTACTGTAGTGTTTAGATGGAGAAGAGTGGTGAGGTAACTACTGTGGTGTTTAGATGAAAAAGAGTGGTGAGGTAACTACTGTGGTGTTTAGATGGAGAAGAGTAAGTGGTGAGGTAACTATTGTAGTGTTTAGATGGAGAAGAGTGGTGAGGTAACTACTATGGTGTTTAGATGGAGAAGAGTAAGTGGTGAGGTAACTACTGTGGTGTTTAGATGAAAAAGAGTGGTGAGGTAACTACTGTAGTGTTTAGACGGAGAAGAGTGGTGAGGTAACTACTGTAGTGTTTAGGAGAACGAACAAACTTTATTTTTAAAGGGTTAAGAATTGGGCACGCAGGCCCGTCTAACATTCTGCCCTTCGAGGTCTCCCTCCATTCTTACATCATTTCATTTACACATCAAGTAATATTAAAAGTTAGCAATAGCATCAAAATAATCAATACAAGCACTGGAATGTGCACATTTCTAACTACAGTAAAATGTATTAGTTGTAACAAATCTAAGAAAAATGAGCGCTATTTTTCACATATGTTTTATCTTCTATGGGGGCATATAATCGGTGCTCAGATAATATTCGAACAGTTTCCGATTGTATGTATATGGACTAGTGGTACTTTTGATTTGCTGTGGTAGATAGTTCCACAATTGAGCTGCGGAATATGACAGACTTGTTTTATAAAGGTCTATCCTAGGTTTAGGGATGTGTAATATGTTTAGACGCTTACTATGCCGTTCATTATATTTGAAGAACGGCCATAAGTAACATGGAGCCTTTTGAGATAATATTTTGTAAGTATATTTTGCCTTATTGAAAAGTAGACGTTCACGAAGCGGTAGTAGTCTAAGACCTTTATATGTTTCGGAGCTCAGTGTTCCATGATTGTTACTAATTAAGCGAATGGCACGCTTTTGCAGTGATGTGAGTCGCTTAATAACAGAGCTGGAACAGCCATCCCATATTGTAGAGCAATAGTCTACATGTGTCTGGATGTGAGAAATATAGAATATCTTTCTTGTTTAATTTTTGCAAGCTGGTAAACCTTTTTAGCTGTTTGCTTCACAAAAGCTTGTACGTGTGAGTTGAATGTTAGATTTTCATCAATTATCAACTCCAATGTCTTGTGCTCAGTTACATTTTCTACTTGAGTGCCCCCAATGTAGAGTTGAAGCGTTCTCTGAGAATTTAAACTGTATAGTTTTTGCCTGGTCGTTATTAGCATAGATTTGGTTTTATTAATATTTATTTGCATACGGTTTGCACTGCTCCATTGGACTACATTATTTAATTCTTGTTGTAATGAGGACTCTAGTAAATTACATGTTTGAGCATTTGCATAGATGGTACAGTCGTCTGCGAATAAATCGCAGGACGACGACAGACATAAAGGAAGGTCATTTATGTAGATATTGAATAACAGAGGACCGAGAATCGAGCCTTGAGATACCCCAGTATTTAATTCAGTGGCTTGCGATAGTGATTTATTGTAACAGATTATTTGTTTTCTATTTAACAAAAAGGATTTTAATAACTATAATAGTCTAGGGTTAAATTTCATTGTTTCTAATTTTCTTATAAGAATGTTATGGTTTATCATATCAAAAGCTTTCTTAAAGTCTATAAACACCCCGCCACATATTTTCTCATCATTAACATTATGGTGCCATTTTTCAATCATGTTAGTTAACCCTCTTAGCACGGACGGGCCGATTATCGGCCGGCGGATGTCTGGCCAAAAACACGGAACGGCCGATGATCGGCCCGATCGTGTTTTGCCTCGAACCGCTAAGAAATCTCCTACTTTGAAACACTGAAAGTGATTCATTTATATTAACTGCGGTATCAGCTTTACACATGGCGACTTTCGAGTGTTTGGTATCGAAGTGAAAATTGTTGTTGAATTTTTTAGATAGTGACCTGAACCGTTAAAAGTATGTCTGACTCGTATGTTTCTGCCCCTAAACTTGATGTTGATAAAACATTTGAATCAAGTGATGACACTAATTCTGTTGATACTGATGCAGGATTTAGTGTTAGTAGTAATGGTGGAAATCAGATGGGGACGCTGTTGTGTTCAGACCACAGCCCAACCATGGCTCAGAGTATATCCACCCGAAGGTGTTGACACTCCGGAACATCCATTTCTAGTGCTGACTGATGGTGAAAAACACATGTCACCTAAAGATATTATTGCTGTTTCACATATATATACCTGTTTTTGACTATTGAATTGCTTACAACATTTGTAAAAAGGCCAAAGATCAATAAAAAGATTTCAAATAAAAAAAATTTGTGTTTTTAGTTTTATGTTTCAAGCATTGAAGTTGAAAATTCAAATTCATATTTTCTATTTTTAGATATGCAAATGAGATAATTTGCATATACATCAATTAATTTTAACGATATTGTGAAAATCACGAACTTCAATCTATATCCTTCAAATAGATATATTATTTCATGGGGGTCAGAATAACAGAAATCTGTCAAAAAAAAACTAAATAAAGTAATAACCAAATTCACTGAAAAAATGCTCCGTGTTTTTGGCTAGACCTCTGAAAAACTTCCCGTGCTAAAAGGGTTAAAGCAGTATGGCAAGAATAGTTTGGTCGAAAACCTGATTGGTTATCCACTATAAGTTTGTTAGGATCTAAGTGCTGAAAAGTTACATTATGAATATGTTTCTCTAGTGGTTTCGATAGTGATGATAACAGGGAGATTGGTCTATAGTTACCTGGAATACTACTGTCTAATGAACCAGAATTTAGATGTGGATACACTTTGGCAATCTTAAATGCAGATGGGATAACTACTGTAGTGTTTAGACGGAGAAGAGTGGTGAGGTAACTACTGTAGTGTTTAGACGGAGAAGAGTGGTGAGGTAACTACTGTAGTGTTTAGATGAAAAAGAGTGGTAAGGTAACTACTGTAGTGTTTAGACGGAGAAGAGTGGTGAGGTAACTACTGTAGTGTTTAGACGGAGAAGAGTGGTGAGGTAACTACTGTAGTGTTTAGATGAAAAAGAGTGGTGAGGTAACTACTGTAGTGTTTAGACGGAGAAGAGTGGTGAGGTAACTACTGTAGTGTTTATATGAAAAAGAGTGGTAAGGTAACTACTGTAGTGTTTAGACGGAGAAGAGTGAGTGGTGAGGTAACTACTGTAGTGTTTAGATGAAAAAGAGTGGTGAGGTAACTACTGTAGTGTTTAGATGGTGAAGAGTGAGTGGTGAGGTAACTACTGTAGTGTTTAGATAGAGAAGAGTGAGTGGTGAGGTAACTACTGTAGTGTTTAGATGAAAAAGAGTGGTGAGGTAACTACTGTAGTGTTTAGATAGAGAAGAGTGGTGAGGTAACTACTGTAGTGTTTAGATGAAAAAGAGTGGTGAGGTAACTACTGTAGTGTTTAGATGGAGAAGAGTGGTGAGGTAACTACTGTAGTGTTTAGATGGAGAAGAGTAAGAGGTGAGGTAACTACTGTAGTGTTTAGATAGAGAAAAGTGGTGAGATAACTACTGTAGTGTTTAGATAGAGAAGAGTGGTGAGGTAACTACTGTAGTGTTTAGATGAAAAAAAGTGGTGCGGTAACTACTGTAGTGTTTAGATGGGGAAGAGTAAGTGGTGAGGTAACTACTGTAGTGTTTAGATGGGGAAGAGTAAGTGGTGAGGTAACTACTGTAGTGTTTAGATGGAGAAGAGTAAGTGGTGAGGTAACTACTGTAGTGTTAAGATGGGGAAGAGTAAGTGGTGAGGTAACTACTGTAGTGTTCAAATGGAGAAGAGTGAGCGGTGAGTAACTACTGTAGTGTTTAGATGGAGAAGAGTGAGTGGTGAGTTAACTACTGTAGTGTTTAGATAGAGAAAAGTAAGTGGTGAGGTAACTACTGTAGTGTTTAGATGGGGAAGAGTAAGTGTTGAGGTAACTACTGTAGTGTTCAGATGGAGAAGAGTGAGTGGTGAGGTAACTACTGTAGTGTTTAGATGGAGAAAAGTAAGTGGTGAGGTAACTACTGTAGTTTTTAGATGGAGAAAAGTAAGTAGTGAGGTAACTACTGTAGTGTTTAGATGGAGAAAAGTAAGTGGTGAGGTAACTACTGTAGTGTTTAGATGGAGAAAAGTAAGTGGTGAGGTAACTACTGTAGTGTTTAGATGGAGAAGAGTTAGTGGTGAGGTAACTACTGTAGTGTTTAGATGAAGAAAAGTGAGTGGTGAGGTAACTACTGTAGTGTTCAAATGGAGAAGAGTGAGCGGTGAGTAACTACTGTAGTGTTTAGATGGAGAAGAGTGAGTGGTGAGTTAACTACTGTAGTGTTTAGATAGAGAAAAGTAAGTGGTGAGGTAACTACTGTAGTGTTTAGATGGGGAAGAGTAAGTGTTGAGGTAACTACTGTAGTGTTCAGATGGAGAAGAGTGAGTGGTGAGGTAACTACTGTAGTGTTTAGATGGAGAAAAGTAAGTGGTGAGGTAACTACTGTAGTTTTTAGATGGAGAAAAGTAAGTAGTGAGGTAACTACTGTAGTGTTCAGATGTAGAAGAGTGAGTGGTGAGGTAACTACTGTAGTGTTTAGATGGAGAAAAGTAAGTGGTGAGGTAACTACTGTAGTGTTTAGATGGAGAAAAGTAAGTGGTGAGGTAACTACTGTAGTGTTTAGATGGAGAAGAGTTAGTAGTGAGGTAACTACTGTAGTGTTTAGATGAAGAAAAGTGAGTGGTGAGGTAACTACTGTAGTGTTTAGATAGAGAAAAGTAAGTGGTGAGGTAACTACTGTAGTGTTTAGCATGTCAAAAGTGATATTTTGCATTGGAGCATGTCAAAAGTGATATCTTGCACTGGAGCATGTCAAAAAGGAATATTTTGAACTGAAGCATGTCAAAAATGGATTTAGAAAAGAAAAGTATATTTTCTGAAATTTTTTTGCCACTTATACTATATACTACTAAAAATGCATTCTTTGTACTTTGATAGTGTGTTGGTCTCTCACATTTTTTTTTGTTGGTTATGTCTTGCACCTTTATCAATTTGTCTGTTGTCTTATTTTGTGGAAGTGGGTTATGATGTCCCACCTGTATGTGTCTATATGAAATCCCATCTTATGATCTTAGTGGGTATGTTGTCCTATCTCCTATGCAGTGGGTTATGTTGCCCCACATGTCTGTAACAGTAGTTTCATCTTGTGATATCTGTGGGTTATTTCTCTCCTATCTATATCTGTCTAGTCCTGTCATGTAATGTCAGTGGGTTATGTTGTCGCACCTGTCTGTAGTCCCATCTTGTGATGTTAGTGGGTTATGTAGTTCCACCTGTCTGTGTCTGTATCTAGTCTCATCATGTGATGTTAGTGGGTTGTGTTGTTCCACCTGTCTTTGTCTTTATCTAGTCCCATCTTATGATGTTAATGGGTTCTGTTGTCCCACCTGTGTTGTCTGTAGTTGCATCTTGTGATGTCAGTGGTTCTGTTGTCCCACCTGTGTTGTCTGTAGTTGCATCTTGTGATGTCAGTGGTTCTGTTGTCCCACCTGTGGTGTCTATAGTTGCATCTTGTGATGTCAGTGGTTATGTTGTCCCACCTGCTGTGCAGTGGGTTGTGCTGTTCCATGTGTCTGTGTCTTCAGCTGCGTTGTCACTTGTCACTTGCAGCAGATGGTGTTGAGCTTTAGGGTCTCTGAGCTGCATGTGCTGCTGGGATTTGCTGGGAGAAACAAGAGTGGACGTAAGCAGGAACTGACCCAGAGAGCTCTGGCACTGGTGCAGAAAGGTTGCTCTCTACAAGTACAGATCAAAGTGCGGGAATTGTACAGGTGTGTGTAAGTTTAGGTTGTGAACTATAGGCTTTGTTTGTTTCATGTGATGAGTTATGGGCTAGGTTTGTTTCATGTGATGAGTTATGGGCTAGGTTTGTTTCAGGTGATCCATTATAGGCTGTTTGTTTCATGTGATGAGTTATGGGCTAGGTTTGTTTCATGTGATGAGTTATGGGCTGTTTGTTTCATTTGATGAGTTATGGGCTAGGTTTGTTTCAGGTGATCCATTATAGGCTGTTTGTTTCATGTGATGAGTTATGGGCTGTTTGTTTCATGTGATGAGTTATGGGCTAGGTTTGTTTCAGGTGATCCATTATAGGCTGTTTGTTTCATGTGATGAGTTATGGGCTAGGTTTGTTTCAGGTGATCCATTATAGGCTGTTTGTTTCATGTGATCATTTATAGGCTAGGTTGGTTTCATGTGATAAGTTATAGGCTAGGTTTGTTTCATGTGTTGAGTTATAGGCTAGGCTTTTTTCATGTGATGAGTTATAGGCTATGTTTGTTTCAGATGATGAGATATAGGCTAGGCTTGTTTGATGTGATGAGTTATAGGCTGTGTTTGTTTCAGGTGATGAGATATAGGCTATATTTGTTTCAGGTGATGAGATATAGGCTAGGTTTGTTTCAGGTGATGAGTTATAGGCTAGGTTTGTTTCAGAGGATAAGTTATAGGCTAAGTTTGTTTAATGTGATAAGTTATAGGCTATGTTTATTTCATGTGATGAGATATAGGCTAGGTTTGTTTCAGGTGATGAGATATAGGCTAGGTTTGTTTTAGGTGATCAGTTATAGGCTAGGCTTGTTTTAGGTGATCAATTGTAGGCTATGCTTATTTAAGGTTATGAGATATAGGCTGGGTTTGTTTCAGGTGATGAGATATAGGCTAGGCTTGTTTTAGGTGATCAATTGTAGGCTATGCTTGTTTTAGGTTATGAGATATAGGCTAGGTTTGTTTCAGGTGATGAGATATAGGCTGGGTTTGTTTCAGGTGATGAGATATAGGCTTTGATTGTTTCAGGTGATCAGTTATAGGCTAGGTTAGTTTTAGGTGATCAGTTATAGGCTATGTTTGTTTCAGGTAATCAGTTATAGGCTAGGTTTGTTTCAGGTGATGAGATATAGGCTAGGCTTGTTTCAGGTGATGAGATATAGGCTAGGTTTGTTTCAGGTGATGAGATATAGGCTAGGCTTGTTTCATGTGATCAATTGTAGGCTAGGCTTGTTTTAGGTGATGAGATATAGGCTAGGTTTGTTTCAGGTGATGAGAAATAGGCTTTGTTTGTTTCAGGTGATCAGATATAGGCTAGGTTGGTTTCAGGTGATGAGATATAGGCTAGGCTTGTTTCAGGTGATGAGATATAGGCTAGGTTTGTTTCAGGTGATGAGATATAGACTAGGTTTGTTTCAGGTGATGAGATATAGGCTAGGTTTGTTTCAGGTGATGAGATATAGGCTAGGTTTGTTTCAGGTGAAGAGATATAGGCTAGGCTTGTTTTATGCTATCATAGTATGTTGTAGTTTAAGTATTATATCATAGTGTGTTGTAGTCTATATATGATATCATAGTGTGTTATAGTTTATATTTGATACATCATAGTATGTTGTAGTTTATATTTGATATATCATAGTTTGTTGTAGTTTTATATTATATCATAGTGTGTTGTAGTTTATATATGATATAGTGTGTTGTAGTTTATATATGATATCATACATGCATAGTAGTTTATATATGATATCAGTGTGTGTTGTAGTTTATATATAATACTAGCTGTACCCGGCCACGCGTTGCTGTGGCATAGTTTGGCTAAATGGAAAAAAAGAAAATAGAAATCGCACGTGTCATTGTCTGCGCAAATACAGAGATAGTCTTCAATGCCGCCCCCTCCCCACCCCCTTCCCAAATCCAGCGTAACCATGCAATCGGAAAGTTTGAAATGAAATCATAAGTATGCGGAATAGTCAAATTTAATTATCAACTGGTTTACCCACATACCTGCCCGGCTGTCTAGCATAGTTGGCTAAACCGGATTGTGCGGAGACCGGGTGACGAACTCCTTGTGGTCTGGGTTCAATCCCGGGGGTAGGCAGAAAAGCCACATTTCTCCCAGATTTACAGTATTTACAATGGAATCAAGGCCGAAGGGTTGCGATATCCATAATACAGAGCCTAAGGATTAACAACTCATGGCTTCAGGATACTAAAACAAACAAACAAACAAACAAACCCACATACCTGTATTTTTTTAATTCAGCATAACCATGCAATCAGAAAGTTTGAAATGAAATCATAAGTATGCGAAATGGTCAAATTTAATTATCAACTGGTTTACCATCATACCTGTATTTTTTTAAAGTATTTATGGCCACATGGCTAGTGCTGTCGCCACCACAGAGCAGGTCTGGTTTTAGTTTGCCCCCAGGTTAAAAAAAAAAAAAAAAAAAAAACTGCCGTACTGGGGATTTCGAACCTTAGTCTCCCGCACGGGAACCCAGTCTACTAACCATTCAGCTAGCCAACCACTGCTTCTGAACAACGAAAATGGAGCAAAACTATGCAAGATGAGTGTCCCGATTCTAACACAACTCAAAACCGCAGGCAATTGTTTTCTTATTACCAGATATCCCAGATATAAACTTCAAGTATTATTGAAACGGCACAATAATAGAAATCGTACGTGTCTAACACGGTAAATCTTGCAATCATTGTCTGCACAGACATAGATCGCCCCCCCCCCTCCTTTATCTTCCCCTTTCTCAAATTCACTGACTACTTACTAACTCATCGAAAGTTGTTTGAAAAGAAAGAAAATAGAGATCCTGTATAATATGGTTAATGTCGCAATCAGCTAATAGAGATAGTCTGGTTTGCTGTACCATGACGGCATGGTGAAAGTCGCATTTACTAACGTGGCTATAATTAAATGTCACTAAAAATGGAAATATTAGTTTCGAAGATTTTTCCAAAAAATGTGGTCACCTATCTCTAACAATGACAGGTAGAATTTCAAACCTTGATGGGTAAACATTCGGTATCAAAACAAACATATCCTTAAAATTTCAGCTAAATCGGTTCAGTAGTTTTGGAGTCTATAGCTCATAAACAAACACACAAACATTGATTTTTATATATATAGATCAGAGTGTGTTCTAGTTTATATATGATATCAGAGTTTGTTGTCGTTTATATATGATATCAGAATATGTATTCTAGTTTTTATATGTTATCATAGTGTGTTGTAGTTTATATATGCTATCAGAATCTGTTGTTTATGTATGATATCAGAGTGTGCATTATAGTTTATATATGCTATCAGAGTGCATTGTAGTTTATATATGCTATCAGAGTGCATTGTACTTTATATATGCTATCAGAGTGTGTATTGTATTTTATAAAAGCTATCAGAGTGTGTATTGTAGTTTATATATGCTATCAGAGTGCATTGTAGTTTATATATGCTATCAGAGTGCATTGTAGTTTATATATGCTATCAGAGTTTGCATTGTAGTTTATATATGCTATCAGAGTGCATTGTAGTTTATATATGCTATCAGAGTTTGTATTGTAGTTTATATATGCTATCAGAGTGCATTGTAGTTTATATATGCTATCAGAGTTTGTATTGTAGTTTATATATGCTATCAGAGTGCATTGTAGTTTATATATGCTATCAGAGTTTGTATTGTAGTTTATGTATGCTATCAGAGTGTATTGTAGTTTATATATAATATCAGAGTGTGTATTGTAGTTTATATATGCTATCATAGTGTGTTGTAGTTTATATATGCTATCAGAGTCTGTTGTTTATGTATAATATGAGAGTGTGTGTTGTAGTTTATATATGCTATCAGAGTCTGCTGTTTATGTATGATAGAGTGTGTATTGTAGTTTATATATAATATCAAAGTGTGTATTGTAGTTTATATAGGATATCATAGTGTATTGTAGTTTATATAGGATATCAAAGTGTATTGTAGTTTATATATGCTATCAGGGTGTATTGTAGTTTATATATGATATCAGAGTGTATTGTAGTTTATATATGATATCAGAGTGTATTGTAGTTTATATATGATATCAGGGTGTATTGTAGTTTATATATGCTATCAGGGTGTATTGTAGTTTATATATGCTATTAGGGTGTATTGTAGTTTATATATGATATCAGAGTGTATTGTAGTTTATATATGATATCAGGGTGTATTGTAGTTTATATATGCTATCAGGGTGTATTGTAGTTTATATATGATATCAGAGTGTATTGTAGTTTGTATATGATATCAGGGTGTATTGTAGTTTATATATGCTATCAGAGTGTATTGTAGTTTATATATGATATCAGAGTGTGTCTCCACCATCACAGTTTTCCAATGTACATACTTCCCCAGCAATCACAGCCAACTCTTATACTGATCATTTATGCTGACCATGAACTAGCATCTTGTGTTTCTTCACTGATCTGTTCAGCCTTGGGTGTTCTGTGCTGCACGAGTTTTCTGCCTAGATTGTTATGATCGCGAGCTTTAATCCAACCTAGATTGTCATGATCGCGAGCTTTAATCCAACCTAGATTGTCATGATCGCGAGCTTTAATCCAACCTAGATTGTCATGATCGCGAGCTTTAATCCAACCTAGATTGTTATGATCGCGAGCTTTAATCCAACCTAGATTGTTATGATCGCGAGCTTTAATCCAACCTAGATTGTCATGATCGCGAGCTTTAATCCAACCTAGATTGTCATGATCGTGAGCTTTAATCCAACCTAGATTGTTATGATCGCGAGCTTTAATCCAACCTAGATTGTTATGATCGCGAGCTTTAATCCAACCTAGATTGTCATGATCGCGAGCTTTAATCCAACCTAGATTGTCATGATCGTGAGCTTTAATCCAACCTAGATTGTCATGATCGCGAGCTTTAATCCAACCTAGATTGTCATGATCGCGAGCTTTAATCCAACCTAGATTGTCATGATCGTGAGCTTTAATCCAACCTAGATTGTTATGATCGCGAGCTTTAATCCAACCTAGATTGTTATGATCGCGAGCTTTAATCCAACCTAGATTGTCATGATCGCGAGCTTTAATCCAACCTAGATTGTTATGATCGCGAGCTTTAATCCAACCTAGATTGTCATGATCGCGAGCTTTAATCCAACCTAGATTGTCATGATCGCGAGCTTTAATCCAACCTAGATTGTTATGATCGCGAGCTTTAATCCAACCTAGATTGTCATGATCGCGAGCTTTAATCCAACCTAGATTGTCATGATCGCGAGCTTTAATCCAACCTAGATTGTTATGATCGCGAGCTTTAATCCAACCTAGATTGTCATGATCGCGAGCTTTAATCCAACCTAGATTGTCATGATCGTGAGCTTTAATCTAACCTAGATTGTCATGATCGCGAGCTTTAATCCAAAAGAAGTTCGTCACACCCTTTCCCCTTCTTAGCAGAATAATAAACTCTGTTAAGGAGGCTGACTTTATTTAAAAATTAATTTCTGGTTATTCTTGACACTATTCCTCTTTGGATTTGAAATGTGTATTGCCTGCTTTCTAAGCACCACGTTTGTTAAAGTTGATGTCCCCTTGTGCACAGATTGCATTCTGTCTTGTCTTCCATCCAATCTATCTGACCAATAGAAGCAAATAAATAAATAATAATCAGCTTTGAGAGATTTGTCTCCCATGAAACAATAGCTTCAAGATTGTCGGGATATTTGTCCATAAAGAACTTGATTTCCCCGTTGATTCTACAACCTATTACATGTTGGTCAGGCCTCGGGAATCTCAATTGTTAAAAACATATTCCTATTTTTCTTCATTGACAGTACTGTGCATTATTCTCTGTACTCTTTCCTATCGCTCAGTCTATTAGACATCGATACATTCAGCATTTTTCTTTGGGTGTACTAGATACCTTATCATTGTCTCTGAATTCTTCATTATCCTTTGTTTGTTATAACATTTAATTTCTTTATACTTGTAGCAAATTGTAGCGACTTATGGGGAAATTTTGCTGAAGGCAGAATTTCCCAAAGTTACAGGTTGATAATCATAGCAAATATTGGCTCATTTAAAGAAAATCTAAGGAAATGATCCAAGGAGAAAATTACTGGAATGCTGCTCCCAATAAGAGACAGGTAGTGATGAATACTCTCTATGAATAGTGACATACAAAGGGTAAACTAGTTTACTTCTATTGTACTCTTCTGTCTAACATCAGAAGGGGAATCAGTCTCACTCCTGGACGTTGACTTGCTGACACTCCTTGCTCACCAAAACAGAACTGTAGAATGAGTTCACAATGATTCAAGTAACCTTAAATATGTATACAAATAGAACAGAACTGTAGAATGAGTTCACAATGAGTCAAGTAATCTTAAATATGTATACAAATAGAACAGAACTGTGCTGAAAAAATATGGTTTCCTAACTCTATCTCTAAATGATACAGTGCATCCATAATATTTTTTCACTCCTTTGATTTCCAACAGACAAATTTATCCTGTAGGAAAAGCTCAGAACAGCTCACCAGTCCACCAGGAGGACATCAACATGCCACTGATGCAGAGACACCCAGGTAAGTTGCGATGTATTTCAGTACGTGGATTCTAATCATCTCTTTACCTAAGATGTGGCTTAGCTTGATATTCTCACTAAGTAGCTCATTGTTCACCTAAAGCACAAGCAACCATCCCTTGGCCCCTTGCAGGCACTTAAAAGGAGGAGCCTCCTTGATAAAATTAGAGGTGGTGGGGGGGGGGGGAGGGTTGTAACTGTCCAGAGGGCAGTAGTAAGTAGTCTTAGATACATATGGGTATTTTATCAAAATAGTGTTGTAATGTAGTAACGGACTGAACACCAGGGGTCAACAAGTACGATTATTCCTGAGAAATTAACACAGGGAAACACTTAGGGCCACAATCAAACATGACATCTGACACTGACGAATCTATACAGGGAGAGAAGAAATATGGAGTAGCACTAAGATGTGCCAGGATTCTCCATCAGAGTAATGATGTTAACAAGGCAGTCAAGTCCAGCCAGCCAAAGGGCTTGAAACCTGCCAGAGAATCTAGGAAGATGAGAATGAACAGTTGACGGATGGCAGCAAGGACAGATCACTGACACTTCCAGTGGAAATGAGATAACAAGCAACGTTGGTCGGACAATGCCCTACGAGATACAGACAAGAGGGGCATATTAATATTTTGGTCAGATGAAACAGTACAACTGACCAGTAATCTAAGAAGATGAGGATGAACAAGTGGACGGGTATCTGGAATGTGAAAAATCGCCCGGGTTTGGAGAAGAAAAGAGATAACAAAATAACCAGAAAGGAGAGAACAAGGAGAGAAGCAGATCACGAGGGCAGTTAGGACACAGGCATTGGTCCGGAAGGTCAAAGTCAAGGAGGCTAGCATGTGAACAGAGCAGATGACTGTATGACTGAGATTTGAGCTTGGTTAGAAGAAAATATATTTCTACAGTGCGTTAGAAGAGACTTGGAAAACATTCAGTAACAGGCAGTAACTGTTAGAAGTGTGCAACGAATGTCATAGCGACTTATACTGTAGTGTTCATATATTTGTTTAAATGAAATAATCATCGTACTCAGATTGATATTGTGTTTGTAAAATAAACAATAATAATTCTGTATGACTTGATCATTCACTGGCCATGTTGTTAAACACAATAGACTTACAAACTCTACCTGATCACTTGTTCCGTTAGGCATTCTTACGTTTGGGGGGGGGGGGGGGGCTACGGAAAAACAGACCTTATCACGTGAGACAGTTTCAAGAGACATCCTCTACCAAAAATTGGCTCATGTTAAAATGGACAGCCTCTTCAGCAAGTCAATGAAAAGGAAAGAAAAAAAGGAGTCGCTCAGAGCAGTGTCAGTCTCTTCTTGGTTGACATCATTGATTTAACTAAATATGGTCGCCAGTAAGTCTCTGGCAGCTTACATGTAGATGACTGTTTGGAGTGCCATAGAACACTGTAAGGTCAGGTCTTGGTCAGATATGGCTTAGCTACCATATAACAGTTACCGCTTCTGTTAGCGCCGAATGTTGGGCTGCGTAGGCCAAATCTGGTGCCCCATACTGTGCCAATGGCTTCAGGCGGAGGAACCCACTAGGGAGAATACTAGCTTTATCCTAGGAAGAGGAAATGCAACCTGAAAACTTTCTTATGGCAGGGAAGACAAGGACTCAAAACTCATGGCCAGTTTGTTTTGGAAAATATAATATTGTTGACTCTTGACTATCTGGACACAGTTCCAACAATTTTTGAAGTTGGTCATGCTATTGATGAACTGGCTTAGGGGAAGTGTAATGATGCTATGAATAGGGTATGACCCTAGTGTGAAAATCATGGGTTTCATGGGGAAATGGCTGATTGACAGAACTGGAAAAGTCCCTGCTTTATGACAGTATTCTCAGCACTCTGCTTTATGACAGTGTTCTTAGCACTCTGCTTTATGACAGTGTTCTCAGCACTCTGCTTTATGACAGTGTTCTCAGCACTCTGCTTTATGACAGTGTTCTCAGCACTCTGCTTTATGACAGTGTTCTCAGCACTCTGCTTTATGACAGTGTTCTCAGCACTCTGCTTTAGGACAGTGTTCTCAGCACTCTGCTTTATGACATTGATCTCAGCACTCTGCTTTATGACAGTGTTCTCAGCACTCTGCTTTATGACAGTGTTCTCAGTACTCTGCTTTAGGACAGTGTTATCAGCACTCTGCTTTATGACATTGATCTCAGCACTCTGCTTTATGACAGTGTTCTCAGCACTCTGCTTTATGACAGTGTTCTCAGCACTCTGCTTTATGACAGTGATCTCAGCACTCTGCTTTATGACAATGATCTCAGCACTCTGCTTTATGACAGTGTTCTTAGTACTCTGCTTTATGACAGTGTTCTTAGTACTCTGCTTTATGACAGTGTTCTTAGCACTCTGCTTTATGACAGTGTTCTTAGCACTCTGCTTTATGACAGTGTTCTTAGTACTCTGCTTTATGACAGTGTTCTTAGCACTCTGCTTTATGACAGTGTTCTCAGTACTCTGCTTTATGACAGTGTTCTCAGCACTCTGCTTTATGACAGTGTTCTTAGCACTCTGCTTTATGACAGTGTTCTCAGCACTCTGCTTTATGACAGTGTTCTTAGCACTCTGCTTTATGACAGTGTTCTCAGTACTCTGCTTTATGACAGTGTTCTCAGCACTCTGCTTTATGACAGTGTTCTTAGCACTCTGCTTTATGACAGTGTTCTCAGCACTCTGCTTTATGACAGTGTTCTCAGCACTCTGCTTTATGAAAGTGTTCTCAGCACTCTGCTTTATGACAGTGTTCTCAGTACTCTGCTTTATGACATTGATCTCAGCACTCTGCTTTATGACAGTGATCTCAGCACTCTGCTTTATGACAGTGATCTCAGCACTCTGCTTTATGACAGTGATCTCAGCACTCTGCTTTATGACAGTGTTCTCAGCACTCTGCTTTATGACAGTGATCTCAGCACTCTGCTTTATGACAGTGATCTCAGCACTCTGCTTTATGACAGTGATCTCAGCACTCTGCTTTATGACAGTGATCTCAGCACTCTGCTTTATGACAGTGATCTCAGCACTCTGCTTTATGACAGTAAAACTTGGTCAATTTAGTAGCACCAGAAGAAATGGCTAAATAGAGCTCAAGTGTGATGCTTAAGAAGAATACTTGGCATTAAATGGCAGGATAGGACCACAAACAATGAGGTATTGGAAAGAACAATGGTTTTCTCAGTGCTCAGTCTATGAAGGCTCAGTGGCTTTGTTACATCTGGAGAATGGAGGATAATAGAGTCTCTAAGGACATCCTCTTTGGTGAACTAAAGATGAGTATAAGATGTCAAGGCCGGCCTCTACTATGATTTAAAAATGTGTGCAAGAGGGACATGAATGATACAATTGTTGAGCGGGACGCGAGGGAACAAAATGCCGTGTTATGTGGAGGGTGCACATCAGGAAAGGAAACAAAATGAAGGAGGAAATGATTGTAGACAGGAAACAAAATGAAGGAGGAAATGATTGTAGACAGGAAACAAAATGAAGGAGGAAATGATTGTAGACAGGAAACAAAATGAAGGAGGAAATGATTGTAGAAAGGATGAGATACTGTGTGTGTGTGTGTGTGTGAGAAGAAGCAGGCTAAACACAAGCGTTGACAACAGTGGTTCTGAAATCCCATGCTGTCATTGGGGAAGACTTTTCTTGACACAGGTGGTTCTTGCTAGTCACACTCACTATCGCCATGGGCTGTGAGTCCCATGTCTCCTCATAGCGCAATATAACACTGTTGTCTGGAAATATGGAAAGGTGTCAGTCAACGCAACAGACTGTAGATGCCTTCTGACTTCCTCAAAAGTAAATGGAGAAAATACAGAATTGAGATCCATAACTAAAGAAAATCAGACCAACCGAAACAGACTATTGTCTCTACCCCCACACAAAGAAATGTCTATAATGTTAGAAAGTCAACCAGTATCAAAAGTTTCTTAGAATTCTCCTAGACTAGACTTACACAGAAAGTCAACCAATATCCCAAGTTTCTTAGAATTCTCCTAGACTAGACTTACACAGAAAGTCAACCAGTATCCCAAGTTTCTTAGAGTTCTCCTAGACTAGACTTACACAGAAAGTCAACCAGTATCCCAAGTTTCTTAGAATTCTCCTAGACTAGACTTACACAGAAAGTCAACCAGTATCCCAAGTTTCTTAGAATTCTCCTAGACTAGACTTACACAGAAAGTCAACAAATATCCCAAGTTTCTTGGAGTTCTCCTAGACTAGACTTACACAGAAAGTCAACCAATGTCACAAGTTTCTTAGAGTTCTTCTACTCTAGACTTTCACAGAAAGTCAACCAATATCCCAAGTTTCTTGGAGTTCTCCTAGACTCTAGACTTACACAGAAAGTCAACCAATATCCCAAGTTTCTTGGAGTTCTCCTAGACTCTAGACTTACACAGAAAGTCAACTAATATCCCAAGTTTCTTGGAGTTCTCCTAGACTCTAGACTTACACAGAAAGTCAACAAAATATCCCAAGTTTCTTGGAGTTCTCCTAGACTCAAGACTTAAACAGAAAGTCAACCAATATCCCAAGTTTCTTAGAGTTCTCCTAGACTCTAGACAGAAAGTCAACCAATATCCCAAGTTTCTTGGAGTTCTCCTAGACTCTAGACTTACACAGAAAGTCAGCTAATATCCCAAGTTTCTTGTAGTTTTCCTAGACTAGACTTACACAGAAAGTCAACCAATATCCCAAGTTTCTTGTAGTTTTCCTAGACTAGACTTACACATAAAGTCAACCAATATCCCAAGTTTTTTGTAGTTTTCCTAGACTAGACTTACACAGAAAGTCAGCTAATATCCCAAGTTTCTTGTAGTTTTCCTAGACTAGACTTACACAGAAAGTCAACCAATATCCCAAGTTTTTTGTAGTTTTCCTAGACTAGACTTACACAGAAAGTCAGCTAATATCCCAAGTTTCTTGTAGTTTTCCTAGACTAGACTTACACAGAAAGTCAACCAGTATCCCAAGTTTTCTTGTAGTTCTAGTCTCTAGACTTACACAGAAAGTCAACCATTATCCCAAGTTTCTTGGTGTTCTTCTAGGCTCTAGACTAACACATAAAGTCAACCTATATCCCAAGTTTCTTGTAGTTCTCCTAGACTCTAGACTTACCCAGAAAGTCAACCATTATCCCACGTTTCTTGGAGTTCTCCTAGGCTCTAGACTTACACAGAAAGTCAACAAATATCACAAGCTTCTTGCCATTCTTCTAGACTCTCGACTTACACAGAAGCTAGGAAAAAAGTTGAATTAAAAGCTGAATAAAACTTCCCCTAATGAACAAAAAATAAAAAGGATGGAACATAAGCCAGTACAAAATTTAATCTAGAACAGTTAGATCCATTGTGGAATACACCTCAAGCTCGGGCTCCCAGTGTGGGTTCCAGGGCTCCATTGTGGAATACACCTCTAGCTAGGGCTCCCAGTGTGTGTTCCAGGGCTCCATTGTGGAATACACCTCAAGCTTTGGCTCCCAGTGTGTGTTCCAGGGCTCCATTGTGGAATACGCCTCAAGCTAGGGCTCCCAGTGTGGGTTCCAGGGCTCCATTGTGGAATACACCTCAAGCTAGGGCTCCCAGTGTGGGTTCCAGTGTGGGGCTCCATTGTGGAATACACCTCAAGCTAGGGCTCCAGGGCCCAGTGTGGGTCCAGGGCTCCATTGTCTCAAGGGCTCCAGTGTGGGTTCCAGGGCTCCATTGTGGAATACACCTCAAGCTCGGGCTCCCAGTGTGGGTTCCAGGGCTCCATTGTGGAATAAACCTCAAGCTCAGGCTCCCAGTGTGGGTTCCAGGGTTCCATTGTGGAATACACCTCAAGCTAGGGCTCCCAGTGTGGGTTCCAGGGTTCCATTGTGGAATACGCTTCAAGCTAGGGCATCCAGTGTGGGTTCCAGTGTTCCATTGTGGAATACACCTCAAGCTAGGGCTCCCAGTGTGGGTTCCAGGGCTCCATTGTGGAATACACCTCAAGCTAGGGCTCCCAGTGTGGGTTCCAGGGCTCCATTGTGGAATACACCTCAAGCTAGGGCTGCCAGTGTGGGTTCCAGGGCTCCATTGTGGAATACACCTCAAGCTAGGGCTCCCAGTGTGGGTTCCAGGGCTCCATTGTGGAATACACCTCAAGCTAGGGCTCCCAGTGTGGGTTCCAGGGCTCCATTGTGGAATACACCTCAAGCTCTGGCTCCCAGTGTGTGTTCCAGGGCTCCATTGTGGAATACACCTCAAGCTCTGGCTGCCAGTGTGGGTTCCAGGGTTCCATTGTGGAATACACCTCAAGCTAGGGCTCCCAGTGTGTGTTCCAGGGCTCCATTGTGGAATACACCTCAAGCTAGGGCTCCCAGTGTGGGTTCCAGGGCTCCATTGTGGAATACACCTCAAGCTAGGGCTCCCAGTGTGGGTTCCAGGGTTCCATTTTGTGAAAACAAGAATAGACCCACTGCCTCCCCAACAAGCATGTTGAAAGTGTTGACTAACTGGGTGCATTTTTCAAAGTGGAAGTCCATCTACCTGAGAGGGAAGGCAGTTCAGCCAGATCAATAACATTTAATGTGCAGGCAACACTCAGGTTCCGTAATAAGGTTAAAGTCCGGCTGTGGATGAACACTCACAACTTTCCACTGGAGTTACAGCCTTGAACACAAAGAATAAGAAGAAGCTCCTGGGTGAAAGCTGTGAAATGAGCTTAGGAAAAACTAGACACAGCGTAACAAAAATTGGCTTAAAAATATCTTTGGCAGCAGTAAAAACGAATACCGTTAAAAAAAAAATGAAGCAATCAAGAGATCTGTTGACTTGTAGCCACTTGAACTTCGAAGACAGTACAAACATCTCACTTAGCTTAACCAGCTCAGAAGGCTTGTAGACAACCTGCTGTACCATAACTGTCCAGAGAGAACGTGGATCTGCATGGATCGGGCTGGTGTGACCAGGGCCCTGACAGTCCTGTTGCAGGCCTTTTGTTTGTGTCATCTGGAGCCAGTCTTGGTGTCAGCTTTGCCCATGGTTATCTTCTGGCTATCAGAGATTCTATCAGTGCATTGTCAGCAAGGGTGACTTCTTTCTATGTTTCAGTCTTGTGTTAGTGTTAGAGCTGTCTTGTGGCCCAATGTCTTGTGATTATCTTCCTGCATGATTTGTTACGTTCTGTTGTTGTCTGGAGTGCTGTTGTCAGTTAGTTTCAGAGATAGTAAATGGTTGATTGGTTAGGGCTGTAATGTGTGAACACTTGTAGTTGACAGTTGTAATATATGTACACTTCTGGCCAACAACTGTTATGTGTGTACACATGTAGCTGACAGCTGTAATGTGTGTACACTCTAGCCAACAGCTGTTATGTGTGTACACTTCTGGCCAACAGCTGTTATGTGTGTACACTTCTGGCCAACAGCTGTAAGGTGTGTACACTTGTAGCTGACAACTGTAATGTGTGTACACTTGTTGTCTACAGCTGTAATGGATGTACACTTGTAACTGACAGCTGTAATGTCTGTACACGTCTGGCCTCAACTGTTATTTGTGTACACTTGTAACTAACAGCTGTAGTGTATTTGTAGCCTACAGCTGTAAGGTGTGTACACTTGTGACTGACAACTGTAATATGTGTACACTTGTAGCCTACAGCTGTAAGGTGTGTACACTTGTGACTGACAACTGTAATATGTGTACACTTGTAGCCTACAGCTGTAAGGTGTGTACACTTGGACTGACAACTGTAATATGTGTACACTTGTAGCCTGCAGCTGTAAGGTGTGTACACTTGTGACTGACAACTGTAATATGTGTACACTTGTAGCCTGCAGCTGTAAGGTGTGTACACTTGTGACTGACAACTGTAATATGTGTACACTTGTAGCCTACAGCTGTAAGGTGTGTACACTTGTGACTGACAACTGTAATATGTGTACACTTGTAGCCTACAGCTGTAAGGTGTGTACACTTGTGACTGACAACTGTAATATGTGTACACTTGTAGCCTACAGCTGTAAGGTGTGTACACTTGTGACTGACAACTGTAATATGTGTACACTTGTAGCCTGCAGCTGTAAGGTGTGTACACTTGTGACTATCACCTGTAATATGTGTACACTTGTAGCCTACAGCTGTAATGTGTGTACACTTGTGACTGACAACTGTAATATGTGTACACTTGTAGCCTGCAGCTGTAAGGTGTGTACACTTGTGACTGACAACTGTAATATGTGTACACTTGTAGCCTACAGCTGTAAGGTGTGTGTACACTTGTGACTGACAACTGTAATATGTGTACACTTGTAGCCTACAGCTGTAAGGTGTGTACACTTGTGACTGACAACTGTAATATGTGTACACTTGTAGCCTACAGCTGTAAGGTGTGTACACTTGTGACTGACAACTGTAATATGTGTACACTTGTAGCCTGCAGCTGTAAGGTGTGTACACTTGTGACTATCACCTGTAATATGTGTACACTTGTAGCCTACAGCTGTAATGTGTGTACACTTGTGACTGACAACTGTAATATGTGTGCACATGTAGCCTTTGGCTGTAAGATGTGTATACTTATGACTGACAACTGTAATATGTGTACACTTGTAGCCTGCAGCTGTAAGGTGTGTACACTTGTGACTGACAACTGTAATATGTGTACACTTGTAGCCTGCAGCTGTAAGGTGTGTACACTTGTGACTGACAACTGTAATATGTGTACACATGTAGCCTGCAGCTGTAAGGTGTGTACACTTGTGACTGACAACTGTAATATGTGTACACATGTAGCCTGCAGCTGTAAGGTGTGTACACTTGTGACTGACAACTGTAATATGTGTACACTTGTGACTGACAACTGTAATATGTGTACACTTGTGACTGACAACTGTAATATGTGTACACATGTAGCCTGCATCTGTAATGTGATATGATTGACAGGTGGCCTGGACTACTCCACGTTAAACATTCGACCAGTCCTGTCACAGGCAGGGAAGCGAGACGTCAGGCTCAAACACTTGCCCTTCTATGATGTGTTGGCAGAGATCCTGAAACCTTCCAGCCTTGGTAAGAGCTGGCTTCACTCACTCATGTTTGATCCCATTGCTTCACGCACAGAGATTAGATCTTATTGCTTCACACACTAGAGTTTTGATCTCATTGCTTCACTCACAGAGATTAGATCTTATGCTCATTAGAGTTTTGATCTCATTGCTTCACTCACAGAGATTAGATCTTATTGCTTCACACACTAGAGTTTTGATCTCATTGCTTCACTCACAGAGATTAGATCTTATTGCTTCACACACTAGAGTTTTGATCTCATTGCTTCACTCACAGAGATTAGATCTTATTGCTTCACACACTAGAGTTTTGATCTCATTGCTTCACTCACAGAGATTAGATCTTATTGCTTCACACACTAGAGTTTTGATCTCATTGCTTCACTCACAGAGTTTTGATCTCATTGCTTCACTCACAGAGATTAGATCTTATTGCTTCACACACAGAGTTTTGATCTCATTGCTTCACTCACAGAGATTAGATCTTATTGCTTCACTCACAGAGTTTTAAACCCATTGCTTTACTCGCAGAGTTTTGATCTCATAGCTTCACTCACAGAGATGAGATCTCATTGCATCATTCATAGAGATTAGATCTCATTGCTTCATTACAGAGAGATCTTATTGCTTCACACACTAGAGTTTTGATCTCTCTTCTCACAGAGATTAGATCTCATTGCTTCACACACTAGAGTTTTGATCTCATTGCTTCACCAACAGAGATTAGATCTCATTGCTTCACTCACAGAGTTTTGATCTCATTGCTTTACTCGCAGAGATTTGATCTCATTGCTTCACTAACAGAGATTAGATCTCATTGCTTCACTCATTAGATCTGCTTCACCGAACAGAGATTTTGCTTCCACACTCATTGCTTCACACGCAGAGTTTTGATCTCATTGTTTTGATCTCATTGCTTCACTCGCAGAGTTTTGATAGCTCTCATCTCATCATAGAGATTAGATCTCATTGCTTCATTACAGAGATTAGATCTCATCGCTTTCATCATAGAGATTAGATCTCATTACTTCACTCACAGAGATTAGATCTCATCACTTCACTCATAGGGTTTTGATCTCATTGCTTCACTCATAGGGTTTTGATCTCATTGCTTCACTCGCAGAGTTTTGATCTCATCGCTTCACTCATAGAGTTTTGATTTCATTGCTTCACTCATAGAGTTTTGATCTCATTGCTTCACTCATAGAGTTTTGATCTCATTGCTTCACTCATAGGGTTTTGATCTCATCGCTTCACTCATAGGGTTTTGATCTCATTGCTTCACTCATAGGGTTTTGATCTCATTGCTTCACTCATAGAGATTAGATCTCATTGCTTCACTCATAGAGTTTTGATTTCATCGCTTCACCCACAGAGTTTTGATTTCATCGCTTCACCCACAGAGTTTTGATTTCATCGCTTCACTCAGAGTTTTGATTTCATCGCTTCACTCACAGAGTTTTGATTTCATCGCTTCACCCACAGAGTTTTGATTTCATCGCTTCAGTCACAGAGTTTTGATTTCGCTTCACTCACATGTACGCTTTGACGTGTGCAACTTTGTTTCTGGTAGCCATCGTCAGCAAACTCTGGACAATTAGGCATGGCATGGCAAGAAGGGTCTTTTATGTAGCCGAGTATGAGTCTCATGGCCTCATTTTGTACTCGGTCAGAACTTTCTAGCTGGTTTCTGCTGGCATTGAGAAGTCCCAGACCATAGTCACTGACGCTTGACACAAGCCCTTGATAGAGAAGTTAAAGTAGGTTTTGTTAAATATCAGCTGCTGCTAGCACCTTGAGTGCTGTCAGACCTTTCCTGGCTCTAAGTATGACTTTGTATATGTGATACTTGAATGACAAGCATCTGTCAAATTTCATGCCAAGTATTTCACTGTGTCTCTTCTCTCGATGTCTATACCACATATGCTTGTGATTGGTGTTGTGTACTGACAGCATGTGTATTCAGGGGAAAAAAACTGTTAAAAAGGCCTTTGCTGGGTACACTTGTGCTGTTGATTTCCGGCACCACGCACTGAGTCTTGTCTAGTTCATGTTGTAGCATTGTTGCTTGCCTGGAGTCTGTCTAGTTCATGTTGTAGCATTGTTGCTTGCCTGGAGTCTGTCTAGTTCATGTTGTAGCATTGTTGGTTGCCTGGAGTCTGTCTAGTTCATGTTGTAGCATTGTTGCTTGCCTAGAGTCTGTCCAGTTCATGTTGTAGCATTGTTGCTTGCCTGGAGTCTGTCTAGTTCATGTTGTAGCATTGTTGCTTGCCTGTTGCTTCCTCGTCGCTACACAGGAATATCATCTGTGAATGAAATTGTTCTGCCCAGACCTACTATCTGTGCATCTTTACTTATGTGTACACACATGTTTGCCTGTTGCTTCCTCGTCACTACACAGGAATATCATCTGTGAATGAAATTGTTCTGCCCAGACCTACTATCTGTGCATCTTTACTTATGTGTACACACATGTTTGCCTGTTGCTTCCTCGTCGCTACACAGGAATATCATCTGTGAATGAAATTGTTAGACCTACTATCTGTGCACGGTGACTACTGATGTGGAGATAACAGGAGACAATGATGATCCTTGGGGCAAGCCCATTCAAACATGCTGAGGTTTTGATGCTCATGCAGCACATCATTACAGCAGTGTTCACATAACAGCAGTGTTCACATCATAACAGCAGTGTTCACATCATAACAGCAGTGTTCACATCATAACAGCAGTGTTCACATCATAACAGCAGTGTTCTTTCAAATAGTTGACCCATTTTGTCTCTGTGTGCATATCCAACAGCATTCTGATGAGCATGTTGTATAAGACACTGTTTAACACATCTTCTAAGCCAATAGCTTTTGTCATTCCTGCCTGGGAACTTTCTTACGTGCGTATGCAAATTCTGCAGCATTGCGCCATGTATTTCTGCCCCGTCAGTAACCACCTAGTGTAATAGACCACCTGACTCCAATGTTTGGGTCAACTTTCTGGGCACAATTTTTTCCATGAGGTTTTCCTACGGTGTTCTGGAGTGTGATGATTCCTCAGTCAGATTACTGATTTAAGAATCAACATCATAGTACACTGGGCATACCGTGACATGACTCTCTACATCATAGTACACTGGGCATACCGTGACATCACTCTCTACATCATAGTACACTGGGCATACTGTGACATCACTCTCTACATCATAGTACACTGGGCATACCGTGACATCACTCTCTACATCATAGTACACTGGGCATACCGTGACATCACTCTCTACACTCTCTTCCTAATATGATTGTCACAGGTCAAGTTCACTTGTGAAACCTCAATGCCACATCTAAGAGTCAAATGATACAATGATTCCTCTGCACACAGTGAGGGATACAGACAATATTGCTGCTGAGAGGATGACTTCACAAGGAAACGCCCAAGAGGTTTATAAAGACATCTCCCAAACAAACAATTTACCCAGAAGACCACATGCTGGGAATCTTCTACCTCCCAGCCTAACTGGTTAAAGGAGAAGGGTTCGGTGACTGCTGACAATAGATCTCCTGGGGTAAAAGTTTAGATATATTATCTTAAACTACTGGTTATGTTCACTGACACATACAAAAATCAATTCCACAACACATGAAGTGTATTACCAATAATGGAACAGTAAAATATTGAATCATAGGACACACAACAAAAATATCCAAAGACTAGATATTCTGAGGTTTTGAACATGCCACTCATCTGTTTTCGGTTCCTGCCACTGGATGTTGACTCTTCAAGATCAGGCCTGACAGTCAAGACACCCACCTGCAACTGTAGAAATGGGACACACCATCTAGATGGCTAAATTCTTTGTGACTCCTGACAGTCAAGACACCCACCTGCAACTGTAGAAATGGGACACACCATCTAGATGGCTCACTTCTTTGTGTCTCTTGACAGTCAAGACACCCACCTGCAACTGTAGAAATGGGACACACCATCTAGATGGCTAAATTCTTTGTGACTCCTGACAGTCAAGACATCCACCTGCAACTGTAGAAATGGGACACACCATCTAGATGGCTCACTTCTTTGTGTCTCTTGACAGTCAAGACACCCACCTGCAACTGTAGAAATGGGACACACCATCTAGATGGCTAAATTCTTTGTGACTCCTGACAGTCAAGACACCCACCTGCAACTGTAGAAATGGGACACACCATCTAGATGGCTCACTTCTTTGTGTCTCCTGACAGTCAAGACACCCACCTGCAACTGTAGAAATGGGACACACCATCTAGATGGCTAAATTCTTTGTGACTCCTGACAGTCAAGACACCCACCTGCAACTGTAGAAATGGGACACACCATCTAGATGGCTCACTTCTTTGTGTCTCTTCACAATGCACTACTGAGGCTAGTCCTCATAAAGTATTCATCTGCATACACACATACATAACTTGGGGTAGCAGTAGATTCCTATTCTCTCCTGCATAGAGAATGATACGCATTTAATCAGTTCCCTTGCTTTGAGCTGAAACATCTTATCAATGTCTCATAGACATACAATAATACATGTACAGGGGACTTTCACCCTGTCTTAAGTCCTTACCTTTTGATGAACTCTCCTGTGTCGTCACTGCCACATATCGCAGTACTAATACCTTATTAATGAAAAATTGAATAGCTTTAGGTTACGGTTATTTATTAAATAAAGCAGGAGACATTGTCTCAAGGCAGCTCGTGACAATGATAATGACATGATGGAAACTACTGTTGTGGGTGTTGGTATCGACCCATTCCTGCCCCCTGTAAATATGCTTGACTGAGGCCGCCGTCTCGATGGTATCTTTAGCTAGCGCCATCCATGACTTTCCTCTTTTCAACCGGTCTCCACTTAGATCTTTCAGATTACCACGTAGCAGACGCCCTTCATCATTGGTAACTTGCATTGGTAATTTTTCCCAAAGATTCACACAGCTAGCAAAACTTTCTAGTGCAGCTTTCAGTTGACATGCTGACAACAGTCTG